GGCTGCGTGGCGGCGAGCCCCGGCCGCCCATCACGTGCTCGGTGTGTTGCATTGTGTTTGCGGCGGAGGGAGGGCTGGCCGTGTCAGTGATCAATGTCATGACTTCCTCCTCGGGCTGGAGCAGTATCAGAGCCCAGCTGAAGGAAGCTGATTACTGCTGGTTTCAAATTGGCTGGGAACAATACACACACACGCACACGCACACGCACACACACGCACACGCAGCCCGCACCCTGGCTCCCGCGTCGCCGCTCCGCGCCGGGGGGGAAGATGAGCTCAGGGGACGTCGTTTGCACTGGATGGCTCATTAAATCACCCCCCGAGAAGAAACTCAAGAGATACGTAAGTGCAGAGGCTCTGCTGATATTTTTTCTCGCTAAACGGATTTCGGCATGTGCTCGGTGTCTCACTCTTCCTTTGAAATGTCTCGCCTGTTTCGGCTTCGCCTTGGACCAAAACAAAAAGATTTACAAGTCCGTGCGCTTATGGAGTATTTTAGTTTTCACCGATATTCTTGTGCCCTTTGGAATTAACCTTTCCCGGCTCGTAAGATTATAATACTTCAGTTGTTATGCAACATATCTTAGGTTAAAAACCACATTTCGCTTTCGGTTAATGTTGCCGTAACGAACAGAATTGTTGTAACAGAATTTCAGATGTCACTTTTCCAGGGAAGGGCAAGAACCTCCTGAGAAAAACTAGTACTTTAAATTCTGAGGCACTGCTTTGTTAAGATGCTCTGTAATTTCTATGACACTTGCTAAAGGCAACATCTGCAATAGTTTTATTTACCAATTTAATATGCCAGATGCAGTTGCTAGCAGAAAGCTTTACTTTTTGTCTGTGATAACGAGGTGCTAGAAGATGCCATGCTGTAAAGTTCCTGATAGCTGAAAGGTGAAGGGGGCTGGTGAGAAGAAGCGAGCACTGCATGCATGGAGAGCTGCAACTGCATTATGTGTAAAGGGGGCCCCTTGTTTCGTTCTGTATCTGCTAGCCTGTTTTTCTTTAAAAAAAAAGGGTGTGTGTTGCAAACGAGGGAAACTGTATCATTGCAGGGCTCCGAGGAAGGCACTCCGGGTAGGAAATAAATGACCCTTAAAAAATTGCTTGGGACAGCACTAAAAATGTAAGCCCATCGTGGGCCATTTTGCATACTCATTTGTGATGGTTCATCATCAGGCATGTTGTTACTGTTATTGCACTTTTGGAATCAGTAATACTCGCTTGAGTCATGCACTTCTAACCTAACTTACCCGAGAGCACTGCACTATACTAGCAGGATGCCACCATACGTCTCTATCACACTCCTGAGCCATATACGTAGCTTACATCATTTGTCGTATTCACTTCTGTTTATCAGCATTTTTTCTGGACTGCTGATGTTAGCTTTTTCTAGTAATATGAGGAATAACTGTCTCGTGAAGAATGTGGTAGATATCATTTGATAGTGTATTGTTTCTTTGCACTAAAAACTAGGAGAAAGGATAATTTACTGATGTTAGAATTTACTTTTAACTTATTCTAAGCCAGGGTTTCTTCTTTTAGATCACAGTATTGCATTGAAATGGCTGAATATTTGCTTTGTTCAGTTAGCATTTTCCAATTCTAAAATAACCACTGTGATGTGTCTCAAGAGAGCTGCAAATAAAATATGGGTATCTAATTTTTGTTGTATTTTGTAACGAGTGTACTAATAGCACTGTATAGCAGGCACTAGACAGTGTAAGAGCCACTGATTCACCCAGCTGGTATCATTAGTAACTCTGTCAGTGAAGCTATTTTTGATGACTCAATATTCATAAAAGGGCAAAGTAGAGAAAACAGAATGTGATAAAGCTGGGATTTGAAAGCCCCCATTATACAGTCAAGATAATAGTCACAACAGGGGCTCTGATCAGCTCACAAGACCAGTTGCAGTCTGCTCTGCTCAGATTTTGCACTAGAAAACCTAGGGAAATTGGGTCTGTGTTACTCTTCAAACATCAACCACTAGATTAGCCAGATCTCTGCAGATTAGGCTTTGTTTTCTGGTTGGGAGGATAAACTACTCCTTTGTCCATAATAAAGCAGAAAGAAATCTGCTGCAAGTACAGCAAAGATTAATGTCCTTTCTCATATGACTTGTTACACAGTGAATGCTACAAACCAAATGGAAATTGTCTCTTACCTGCTGTAAACTGTTTTTTTTTTCACTTTTTATACAGTTTCACCAGCATGGTGGTTTATGCATCTTGCACTGGGGTGGTAGACGGCTCAGGCTGAACCACACTGACTGCTTAAAAACAACACAAGCTTTAAAACAATGACTGTTTAAACTGACTTCAGTAGGTGTCAAGTGTCAACCGCTTACAGGAGAATGGTGTTGGCTCTGGTTCTGAGCTGACAACATACATAAATCCCCAAGCTTTACACCACCCTTTGTGTTCGGCTGGCAAAACCCATGGTCTGAGCTGAAGCTTCCAGGGAGCTTCAAATGCGGGCTTGGTCTGCTGCTCATTGGGACCTTCTTACACTGCAGTGACTCAGTTGCTCTCACGGGGTTGTCTCCCAGTTTACATTTTCCTGCGTTCAGCATCCAGCCTTTGTAAGGTCCGGCCTGAGGGTCTCTTGTTTTACACACAGATAAATTCTTAATCCTCCATCTATTACAATCACTAAGAAAATCCAATTAATTTCAGTGGAATCTGTAGTTAAGAGACCAGACAAAGTGATGAATTCAGGTTGTGAGACTGGGAACTGCAGACAGTCCCACTGAAGCCACCGAGAATATTTACAGTGTTTATAAAATTAAACAATTACATCTTTGCGAGATTGGAGCCTAAAGACCAAAGTACACCTTCATTTATGCTTGTTCTCTGATGAAAGCAATTAGGTTTTCTACGCATAAACAAGTCAGAATTTGGCTCTAGGTAAGCAGAACGTTGTTTTCAAAACTTTGAAAAGTGAAAAGCAGGTGTTAAGAGTCTATATTTTTCCTGTAATGTCTTACAAAGCTGATGCTCTTAGTAGCACTATTCTTAGAAGTGTCTTATCATTCCCTAACAAAGGCTGCTCTCTTACATGTGCAGGAAACGAACATGAGATTAATTACCCAAGTGTAACTTTCTGTAAAAACAGAGCGCGTAATGCTAAATGCAGAGAATTCATTAGAAAGCACAGGGAGCTTCACTTCAGCAGGCAAATACTCTAATAGTAGTTTAATAGCATGTACAATGCTTTTCCCTCTGTCTGATACTTGAACCATGAATCCACCATGTCAGCCTATCTAAAGAGGCAGTTGTGCAAGGAGTCTCCCGGGAGAGCATTTGGTGTGTGTTGCAGTTCTTTGTCCCCTAAGTGTGACCCGAAAGCCGTGTTCATTTCCTCACTTGGTTCCAGCTTTTCTCATCAGTCGGGGCTGTGTGGGCCTGAGGGGTGCCGGGGAACCCCCAAAGCTCTTGGGGGCGCTGGGTATGGGGCGGGGGCAAGAGAGGAAGAAGCTGCTACCAAAAACTAGGAAGTGGTGCTGGTGGAGGTGAAGTCCACCATGCTCTAGACCAAAAATGCTAAGTTTCAGGCACAGCTTGACACTCAGCCCCACAGGAGGAAAACCTGGCCCCACTGGAGAATTTTGGTATTGATATTAGTGGATCATGAGTACCAGCCTCTGTAGGAAATTAGATGTCACGGGAGAATCTGCTTCAGGTTTGATGGATTTCGCAGTGCCTTATATTAGTGCTGAATACGTCCAACCAGGGATTTAGATCAGGCGTTCAGAGCCGCAAGGGAAAAAAGTGTTTATGTTTGTTAAAAAAAAATTTTAGATGCAGAAGGCTCAGCGTGGTGTTTTTCACGTATCCCAATTCTGTAATGTCAGCCTTGAGCAGCCGGCTTTTTGATACTTTTCATATGGAAATATATCTGCTCACTGACTGGTAATACTTGTTTTCTGTTGGAGAGGGAGGAGAATGGTTTCATGGCCTAGAAAAGGAATTGCTACAGCCAGTGCAAAAACTCACTATGAGGGGAAAAAAGAGATGGAAGAAGGCACAGAGGCTGTCTAAATAAGAGACTAGTGCCATTGAGAAGACACATTGTTCATGTGCTGATAAGGAGAAGGAGATGGCAGCTGATTTCAACCTATCCTCAAATTGCTGTCCTGTAGTTTGTCATACCTGTGAGGAGCAGCAGCCATAGTTAGCCAGCCTGCCCGCCTGCTGGGGTGAACGCCACGCCAGTATTTACTTACTGTTAGTGTTAAGTTACGTGGTTTGCAATAGTAAAGGGCTATATACAGATGCTTGCTTGTTGTGAGTCAGTGCAGCTCCATTTAAGTCAATGCTGCACAGCTGTACCCCAGCTGAAGAGCTATTTTTAATCTTCAGTACTATACAAATTGATGAGGGAAGACCACTTGCTCAAAAAAAGGCAAGTTTCCCACTTTACTTGAGTGACTTGTTTCTTCAAACGTTATTGAAAATCAAAATTCCTTGTCAGCATCTTAGAACAAGAGTCCAAAATGGACCCTATGTTAGAAGATTTAACCTTGCACTTCTTACCACACTTCTTGGAGTATCTGATCTGGGAAGACAAAGAGAGGTGTAAATCAATGTGCCAGATGCAAAAAGCTAGTAAAGCGGAGTCCGTTCCTGCTGTCTCTGCGCGAGGGGCAGTGAGTGCCGTCAGAAGGGCACACACAAGTAGCTGCAGACGGACGTCTCTGACTGTTGGGGGGATCTGCCAGAACTCGACCACAGCACCTCAATTGCTAGGGTTTTACAAGATAAGAGAATCTAGACGACTTCTCCATTTTTAGCTGAAGTTATGGTATTTATCAGGAGAACAAACGGGAAGTTACTGGCCACTAAGAAGAAAAAGTAAAGTAGAATTATGGAAGAGTTTGCTCAAGTAATAGGAACAAGAATCCCACAGCACTGCTGAGGGTGGATGGGATGCAGAGCGTCTGCTCTCTGATCTGGTGTTGGACTGGTGTCAGCAGAGGACATTGCCATCCTTGCCCAAAAGAAATCCCCGAGTGCTGTGTGAGGTCAAGTACTTCTGCTGATTTGGGATTTGGGGGAAGTTTCTGAAAAATAACTATCAAAGAGAAATCTGAACTTAATTTTTGTCCATAAGCCTTTTTATTTCCAAATGCTTCTTACAAAGCCTCATCTCTTGAGCTCTGTCCCCTCTGAATAGAGAGTTACGGCCACCTTTCATACCCTGCTGGAATCAACATCCCAAACTCTCATTGAAATAACTGAGCTTATTTAACCAATTTGTGCAGGTTTTGTAACTCTAGTTTATAGGCTGGTGGGAATAGGAGTACTGTGTGATGGAGAAGGTTGACAGAGCCTTTT